TACTAGGCGCAAGGACGCTACTAGGGGCTCCTGGCATCGCTACTAGGAGGAGCAAGGACGCTACTAGGGGCTCCTGGTCCTCTATGGTCCAGGCAAGGAGCTCAGAAGTTCGGGTCAGGGTCCAGCGGAGCGAAAAATGTCGTTGGAAGACATGTCGTGCCAGGGTGATCTGCATGCGCCGCAATGAACTGCAAAGTAGTGGATCAGGCTTTCTCGAGACTCCAGTTCTTGCCAGCTCTTGTGATCGAGAAGCTGGACTGCTTGCATGGTGTACCTTGGCATCATGGCCTCGGATGTACTATAGGACGCAGTGACCTCAAGGTAGCCGGTGTTGCGAAGCAGCCACACGCAGATCCAATCTGCTGGCCATGGTATCGAGTTACTATCACTTGGATGGCAGCAAGATTCCTCGCCATCTTCGAACAGTACCCAGCCTTTGGTCGTCCGTCCAACTTGGAGGTGTCCTTGTTGGTCACGACCCTTGTGCGCAATGCCTGCTATCGGAACAAATTCCTACACCTCAGCCGTGAGACTTTCAGGGTCTGGGGACACCAAGATCTCGCCCATGGAAAGCTCGAGGTGCCAGGTGGCTTTCACTGGAGTACCTTGGGAGTCAGGTTTGAATCGATCAATCTGGAAGCACAGCAGCGGGCTATCAGTGTCGAAAGCGGTGACCATGCCCATGTAATTGTGCCATTCATTGATCAAGGATTGCAGCGAGACTTTTTCAGCAGTGGCGTCACTCGTGGTCAAGGATGGTGGCAAAAAGGCCGTACCTCGATCCACGATCGTGACCTGCTCATTGGACTGAACCACCTGGTGTAGGCCAAAAAAGCTTTCAGGAATTCGGACGCCATCGTTGCAGTTGGTAATCCATTGATTCCAGTTCGGACTGAGCCGCCTCCACCAAGTCCTCCAAATGTTTCTCCATCTTCACCATGTCGAGGGGTGGTTTGGTGGTCTGCTTGAAGCTTTTCGTCTCGCTGCACCATTGCAAGTAGGGCCATTTCCCCTCTGGCGTGATCACTTGGTGCTTGACCGCCTGTTCCCATTCTTGGCTGCTCTGACACACCTTGGCCAGTGCCAGCATCTTGTCCAAAGTGGTTTGGCAAACCAGTTGGAAGAGAACCACTCGTAGAGGTTTGTTGACTTTGCTCGCTTCCATGTCCTTCTTCCACGTGGACGTGTGAGTCATCAAGGCCGGAAGGATCCCGCGCTGATTCATTTGAAAGAAGAGCAGGAACTGGTCTGTAGAGGCCTGGGCCTGAAGCTGGGACTCGTGCCTCAGGGATAGTGCCGTCAGAAGGCTCATTGCCTTCTGCAAGCGCTCCAGTGTTTCCTGATTCTCGGATTGGAGCTCCTCCGGTCTGCCACGTTTTTGACTGGACCGGAAGTATTGCTGAATAGACCTCCGAGGGCATCCTGAACTTGACCCATCACGTCGTCCTCGTTGATCTCGAAGGTTCCCATCAGTGGATGGTAGCGGAGCGCTAGCCACCTGTCTATGGGCCCTGAGAAAGGCCAAGTGGAGTGCTGCTGGGCAGAACTCTTCAATCCCGTTTGAGTCTAGGCAAAAGTGGCAGCAATCGAGTTGTGGGCTCAAACAGTCTGCGTATGTCTCAAGAGCTGGTGCTGCCAGGGTGGCATGACTTGTCATGAGATGTGATTCGAGGTCTGCGAGAGAAAGGCAGAGCTGACAGAACGTAGATCAGGTTGCTCCCAATAGGCATCCAGCTCCAACTCAGCGTGCTTCTTGACCTGGCTCAGAGACACTGCAGCCTGTGACTCCCGCTTGGTGACTTCAGCTGGTTTGGAATTCTCCGCGCTGGTATTTGCAGTCACTTGCAACATGGCAACTTAAGACCACACAATGATGACCTTTTCGAAACATGCGATTCCCACAGTAGCACGGACGTCCCATAGCAGCTGCCTGATTTTGCAGGTTGGTGCTTCGATCTGCTGCCTCCTGGACCACGGTGGCATGGTCCTGTAGATGGTGCTGAAGAAGAAGAGCTCCTGGTTTGGCGCAGTGCCTGTGACAGAGTGCACAAACGGTACGAAGTGCTTGAACAAATACCTGTTTGCGCAGGATGAGGTCTGTCTCACTGTTCTTGGCCATGGTCATGAGTTCAGGCCATGTCAGGGGAATGTGGCTTCCCAGGGGACGATTGGAGTTGAAGGACTTGCAACAACCCGTCTCGATGTGGCGCCTGAGAGCGAAGTAGCTGCCCTGCAGAACACACTGGCAGTGGGCACAAGTGGGTGTGCCATCAGCGCTATCACGTCTTGGATGATATGAGTTGATGGATCGAAAGCTCAAAGCAGTCCGTGGTGAAGTCTTGATTCTCTGGCCTGATTCAGGAATTTGCCATTGGGCTTCCGGCTTGGGTGGCTAGGTACCACAGGTTTCCCATGGGCTACGTCCTCGGTGCATCGGTTTGTGGAGCATAGGTCATGCAGGATGGCCATTTGCCTGATCACATGACAGGCGTGTGCTTTTGCAATGGGCTTTTGCCACATGCTTGACAGGGCTTCCCATCCCTGAGAGCATTGATGATGGTCGGCGCTTGTGCTTTAGACGCGGACCACATTTCATAGTGGTTGACATTCAAATGCTCCAAGAGGGCTTTCCCTGTGAAGAAGTGACGACCACACAAGACACAGTGCTCTCTGAGGACACCGATGAGATCTGGTTGTTCCACCAAGGCCATCCAAGCTTCAGCATGAGCATGTTCTCGAAAAATTGCTTGGTCTGCAGGTGGTACCTGTTTCTCCAAGTCAGGATCAAACATTGGACATCCATCCCGAGGGATATGTCGTTTCAAGCCTCCCCAATCATAGAATTTGAAGTGGCAGTAACGGCATTGCGGTCGTCCTTGCAGAGCATCTCTAGTTGAGAGGAAGACATGCGTAGTACGTGAAATTTTGTGAACAAGGACCAGGTGACGATTCAAAGCGGTCATATCAACGAAGTGCTGAGGACAATACGGACATGCTAGTTCCCAGGCAAAGATTTGCGCCTTTGCGTGATCAAAAATAGACATGGTACGACGCTTGATACTGGCAATCGGCAAGGAACACAAAAAGTCTGTTGAGTGAAGCTGCGCCTGATTGTGTTCAAGACGATCGAACAGTTGATTCCACTGCGCCTGCAGTCCAAACAGTGGATCCATGACTCCCAAGCGACGGAACAAGTCAGCATTGCTCTCATGTGTGACATGACCAGGTGATTGCCCTGATAGTCGAAGATCCGCATTACACCTGGCAACCAATTTATGCAAGCCTTCCTGCTTAAGACCAGCTGCTGCAAGACCGTGGAGATACGAGCTGAGGACGCACGATCTCCACACCTGGGCCCTCGTGTTCCAGGTAACTGAATGGCGCTTTACGAGCCACGGTCGAAGTCTTTGGAAGGCGGTTTTTCCTATGGGGATGCGATGATTGAGCGTCAGCTTTTCAAAACAATGGTATGATATTTTGCAACCAAGATATGTGTGAGAATGGACAACCGGCAACAGGGTCTCCTGCGAGGACCTTGGAATCCTAACAAACAATCCTTCCTTGGTGCGAATGAGACATTGTTTCGTGAGCTTTGCCGCCTGAGAGCCCTCAAGACGAATGAGCATGACTGTCTTTTTTGGATTAAAAATCAGGTGATGCCGTTCAAGAACGTCTAAAATCTGACCAACTGCGTGCAATGCCTGATGAACTTCAGTCGGGCTGCAAATTTTCCAACGCATCAAAAGGTCATCTGCGAAGCAAATCAGCCGGTGAATCAGTTGGCTGACAGTGCATTCAAGAATAGGGCATAGCGCCTGAAGTATAGTAGTCATGAACACATTCCACTCTAAAGGGCTACCTCGACATCCGTGATGAACCCCACAAGTTGTGACAACCTCAGAAGTCAACCCCCTATGGTGTATGCTGTATTTGGCATCTTTGAGCCAGTTGACCAACAGCAGTGCTATCGACGGCGGGCAGTTGCAATTCAACAGAGTTTCGACCGCGGCAGCCTGTCGAATGCTTGAGAGAGATCAAGAGACAACATCAACCCACCTACCAATTTGGGTTTGGTGTGCCCTGCCTGTTTCTGCCAATGCGACGGATTGGCCATGGTGCATTCCGTCCGGACCTGATGACAATGGTCGAAAACATAGCACAGTGCCTCAAACACCCCTCTACGCTCAGTGTAGGCAAAAAGAGGGTACTGGATTAAGTGCACAACCATATGAGAAGAGGCAGCTTTGACCAGTGCTCCTAGCACAGCTTTGCCCAATCCACAGGTGAGAGCAATGGGTCTGAGGTCTGTGGGATTAGTGACTGTTCTCTTTGCAAGCAAAATCAAAACAGCGTCCTTCCATTCAGACGGAATCGATGGCTGATGGTGTTGCCATGTGATCTCCAAGTACCTGTACAACCAACTCGCTAGTTGGGGCGCAAAGTGCTTAATGATTAATGGCGGCAGGGTGCCTGGGGCTACAGCTTTATCAATCTTGGTGGCTCGAAGTTCATGTTCCAAGTCAGCCTGAGTGAAAGGCATTGTCACTGCTTGCAGAGTGGGTATTTCTGAGGTGGATGCGCGAAAGATGGCTTCGAAATGAGCCCTCAATGCATTGAGCTCCTCCTGCGGGGTTTGTGCAAGACCGGCTTCCCAATACCTGATCTGTCGACGAGGCTGTTTTGGAGTCAAGGACCGAATGGCCATGTACAATCTTCTGGAATCATGTCTATACGCAGCTCCGGTGGCCTCCTGGATGACTTTGTTCACACGTTCTTGACGCTTGACTTGGCAGTGCTTCCGAAGACGTGTCCCAAGCTTCAAATGCTGACTCATGTGGAGCCATGCTTTAAAGACTTGGGCTATAGCGGACTAGTACAAGACTGAGCGTTGCGCGCAAGGTGAAGATGTCTCCACTTCAAAGCAACCAGGGACCTGGTGACTGGAAGATTCCAGGTGGTTGGGTGGTGAGGCACGAAAGTGAGTTGAGCATGCTTGAACTACATGATTGGTAAGTTGCAAGGGTTGGACATGCTGCATGGACGCTTGCCTCAACTGCTGGTCAATCTGGGACTCGAAGGTTTGAGTGGGGGAACTGGTGTCCCACTCCTGGCGCATGCATTGCATGGTGGCTCGTGACAGATGAGGCTTGACGGTTCGAGTCTGCCAGTTCAGTGGGATGGTAGTCACAATTGGAGCGTGGTCAGGGTATCCCCGATGAGTGTTCAGTGGGAAGGTCCTGATACAGCATGCTTGACGTGACATTTGATCCAACTGTGGACGTCGTGCGAAAAGGTAATCAATGTTCGAATTGCCTGCAGGACCAATGTATGTGGGACCTGGGTCATGTACTCTAACAGAGGCTAACGAAAACCTGTCGACAACTGCCTTAAAGGCCGCTTGATCAGGGAAGGATGCTGTTTGCGTCGTGGAACAGGTCGAGGCATCCAAGGAACAATTGTAGTCACCTGCCGTGATGAGGAGATTCCGAAATGGTAGCTTAGCTAAAAGGTCCTCCCATGCATGCCAAAAAGTGTCACGAGCTCGAATAGGGTCGGGCCTATTTCTGGCAGGATTATTGGGATGCTGATAGCAGTTGACCAAATCTATCGTGATGGTATCCAAGTGACAACGTGTATGTCGCAGCCTGCCTTCAAGGACATTGGCATGGCTGATAGCGGATGGCGGACAGAGCTGAGTTCGAATGATGGTGAGAAGCCCATCACGTGCATTGTTCTGTGAGGGAGTTGGCACTAATGCAAATCCGCAGCTTTCCCATGGTTCATCTATCCCCCATCGTGTTCCTTGAACAAAGCAAACATCTATCCTGTGAAGGGAGAGCCAAAGCAGTAGTTCATGATACGTATCAGCGGTAAGTCCACCACAGTTCCAGCCCTTCTGAGGCACTGCATGGTCAGTGCCTCACCCTCACCCCTACCGTCCAAAAGCTCATCAAAAAAACTGTTCCATTGATGTGCAAGCCACTCAAATTCATCGAAGCGGTGCATCTGGACGGTCCTGGAATTGGGACCAGGCGGACAGATCAGTGCAGTTTGTAGGAGGATCACCAGCAAGGCAGTCCATGGCCACGAAAGCATGGCGGACCGCCGGGACTCCGCTGATGGAGGGGGGTGTCTTGCACCATCTGTGCCGAGGGGCTTCGCTAGTAAACCAAGGACGCTACTAGGGGCTCCTGGCATCGCTACTAGGAGCAAAGACGCTACTAGGGGCTCCTGGCATCACTACTAGGAGCAAGGACGCTACTAGGGGCTCCTGGCATCGCTACTAGGAG